CCCAAATGGGGGCTATGAGTGATTGAACGCGGATTTGGTTTGTTGGGTTGGGCCAGTCGAGGCTATTTTCTGGTCTACATGTTTGAAGCTTGGACTTGGAGTGCCTTTGGCAAAGGCTGTGGGTCGTGTTTTACCCAAAAGAGAAACGGCTGTAGGTCATGTATCTCTTCTTTGGCAGACCAATTTCTTCCACGCCCACAATGATTATGTGGGTTGGAGCCTCATTAAACCATCACTTCTTTGGGGCTTAATATATTCCTCCCTCTTTTTTAATGCTAAAAGGCCTAAAATGAAAAATAAATAATTTTGTAAATTTTTAATCACTAGCACTGAGGAGTTGGCAGAAATGCAAGATGCATTTAACGGAATAGATATTTTGCATTTTTTGATACGTTAGAAAGAATCAAAATACAACTCCATTAGTACTAAAAAAGTGTTCCAAGAGGAAAAGTGTTCCAAGAGGTAAAGGATTTGTTAAATGAATATAGTAGAACTTGCAAGGCTGATCCATATTTGCAACTTACTGAGTATATATACCAGATCAAAGATGCATAGGAGTGGTAATAAATAAAATTTATCTCCTACTTTGACACAAATTCAATACTGATGTTGCCGTAGATCCATAGAACCCTATGATAATTTTTGTTATGATTTTATCCAAGACATATATATTGATGCATATATAATATATCTTCAACTTAATTCTCCATAAAAAATTCGTGCATAAATTCATGTATCCCTTAACTTCTCCTCTTTTGACTCAGCATGATCCTTAATCATACTTCCAGCTGTGGAGTTCTACCCAACGTTAAACAACGATTTTAAAAAATGAGAGAAAAACAGCAGTATCTCGCTCTTTTCTTACAATTGTAAACAGGAAAGGATTTATGCATTTCCTCCAATATCTCATTTTCATTGTAAGTCACACACACTTTATAAGACAAGTAAATAAAACAGAGAATGAGTTTGAAGCAAATCAATTTGACTTAAATTGAGGTGAACAACATTCATATATAGTTGAGAAGGAAGATTATTTTCTTGTATATATCATGAGTTTTATATCATCACAAAAATTTTACTTGTTAACCTTGTTTCATAAAATAACTATTGCAATTTAGGTTTATCACTAATGTTGAAATATTAATTAACATTCTTTTTACTCAATTAAATTTTATAATTTAGTACAGTTTAGCTTATAAAATAAGAAACCGTGTGTATATATATATATTACCCAAGAAGTTTGTAATTTCATTCTTTGTTGCCGAACTTTCAAAATAGATAATTTTGATTAACTTTTAAAATTATTTATAATTGTTTTATATAAATTCATCAGTAGTGAAGGCAAAAAGAAAACTTATGAATTAGCTAGCAATTTTATACATATTCAAAAAAAAAAAAATTATTTAAACCATTTTATAAAAACTATTGTTAACTTTAAAAGTTGAACTTATTAATAAGTAAATATCATTTTATAAGTCAAAAATTTAAAGTTTAAGTTTTAGAATTAATATTTAAAAAAATTAATTTCGTTAAATATATTAAACTGATGTAAGAGTACATACTTTTATGTGCAAAAATTAATTTTAAGACAGTTTGACTTTAAATACCAAAAATATGATAAAAAAAAATAAAGCTATTGTTAGGCTAAATACTCTCCATCACAGTACATTTTGCTAGTTTTACGTTTTTGTTTTCTAAATCTCTCTGTATTATTCTAGATTTGAACTAAAACCTCTAAAGATACATAACACTATGCTCATTTTCACTACCATGGCCACTTCTTATGGCATCCATTTTCTTTTACCTATAGTCATTAACATGAAAGAACAGATTAATTAAAACTACCATGGAAGTCTCAAGGAAATGTGTTCATATGGCTAAGAGCTTGATATCCAAGTTAAAAATTTCATATTTGAATTATTAAAGCCAATGAAGAGGGATTATAAGTAAAGTGACAATACTATACTTATAATGTCATGTAAAATTGTAAGTTTACAATCATAATTTAGCATTAAATAATTATGATGTGACATTAAATAAATTAACACATATAATATTATAAGTAAACTCTTAAATAAAAAAAAATTAATTATATATGCAATGATATCTTATATTGTAAATTTATAATTTTATGTGAAATTGTAATTATAATTAATATTTTTGTAAAAAAAAAAAGTATCGTTGTTATATAATCTAAATAATTTGATATAATAAAAAGAATTATAAAAGTTAATAAAGCTTCAATTGACAGGATATAATGACTAAGATCTTAACCAACTATGAAATTATGACGCTAGTCTTACCTTTTGTGAGTTTATAATTTGTTAACTTTTTCTTTTTTGGTATGTAGTAATTATAGATTTAACCTTGTGTATGTGGCTAACATTATAAGTAAATCTACCACTAATATGTATTGAAAACTTCACATTAAAACCCAAAAAAAAAAAAAAAAATGTGCCTTAGAAATGGCAACATCTCATCATGTTTAATGTCGAATTTTATTTCATTTCATAAATTTTCCCACACTAAAATCCATAGGCTGGCCAATATTAACTTGCTACTACTAAAACATGCCAAATGTAACCTTGAGAACAATCTCGTCTTTGAATTTCATCATAGCAAATGCCGCCACTACCACGGCCGGCGCTTTCTATTTGTCCCACACCTCTTCCTTGCCGGCCAGTACTGTAAACTTATATGCTTCCTACCATCTGCATAGGATTCTCCTCATTTTCAGTAGGCATCTAAAACGAAGCATGAAGAATACCGGCTGGAGGATCCTTGGCATGCCGCTCAATCCCAATGCTCGGAAAGACAGAGAAGAAGACCTTGTTCTGCTTCGGGAACTTCATAAGCGCGGGAATGATCGGATCGCCAGCCTCCTCCAGCCTGTTTCCGATTAGTTTAACCAAATGGTAACGGAAATTCTGCAATCTATAGGATTGGTCGGGAAAGAAAGGACCGGGTTATGAATTCCTCGCCGAAAACGATAAGAACGAATACGATTGGTTGGTGACTTTTTATCTGCGATTTCAGAGACTGTAGAATTTCAGTGCTAATTCACATCAACTGTCAATTTTGAAGGTTTAAAACACCGCCGGTTACTCCTCTGTTTCCGTCGCTAGAAATGGAAGCAAACGCCCCCCAGCTTATCGTCCACCACGACCTCCCAATCCTCCAAGCTCTCGCTCGGGTATATATTATATCTTCTTAATTTTTCAAGATCTTTCTTCCTTTTTATTTTTTTAAAAATCAAAGCGACAGAAAGCTGAATCTCAACTCACCATGACAGAAGATTAATTTTCATTAGTTTGTAAAAGATTGTGATTTGCAGTTTGCAGGAAATTCAGAGTTGCCCAAGGGAATCATCGGAGCACCGAAATCTTCAAATCAAAAAACGAAGGTTCTCTCAAGATCCATAACTCCTAGCTATAGAGCCATTATGTCATCGACGGAAACTCAGAAATTCATCAATTCCATTCAGAAATCTGATAATCTCAACAATAACAGAACACCTAAATTCTCTAACCCAAAAAATACCCAAACAGATTTTCTCACTTCCAACTTATGCAAAACGCCGGCCGCCGATTCAAAAACAAAACCCAGAAGCAAAGGCGTATCACCTTCAGTGAGACCAACGATTCCGGCCCAATTTCCTGGATTTCCGACGAGACACCCCTAACTTAAGGACCGATCGTTCGACCTCTGCCACACGAAGCCGGCCGGCAACAAAGCCGGTAGTGGGTGCAAGTCAAAAGCCAGAACCCATTGCCGCAAAGCCAAGAAGACAATCGTTTTCGCCGAGTGTCACAAGAGGTCGCCGAGTGGAACCCAACAATCAAGAGAACAAAGGAAATGGAACCCAAATCTTGGGGAGTAAGATGGTGGAAAAGGTAATGAACGCGAGGAAGTCAGGCGTTGAGGAAAGAGAAAGAAAGCAAAAAATCACGAGAATCCATCAATCTAAACAATGGATTCGTGAGGATGACTGCTAAGAACTCACTGGACACAGCTCTCAAGCATATGGTATGATGATTCTTCTTCGAGCTTTTTAGTTAATAATTTTTAGCAGTAACGCCAAATTAGCCCCTACTTTCAGCTGTTTCGTGATCATAGCATTTATTAGCTTTCATAGAGAGTGTTTGGTTTGGGTACAATAATTTAAAATTAACAGTTAGGTATAAGTAGAATAATATTAGTTCGAACGGAAGAAATTTAGTTTTTTTTAATATATAATATTTTAAATTTAAGTTTTATAAATAAAAAAATAAATGTTAAAAAAGTTTTTCTTATGAGATTCAATGTGATTTGATTTTAAATTAATCGAGATTTAATGTAATTACCAGATATTGAGGAGGTTAATACAAAAAAATAAGTAGGGTAAAAATGTATTAATCATATTTTTTATTAATTTATATAAATATATAAAAATTAATTTATTTTTAATATTAATATCAAGTACACGATTTCAATGGGAAAAAGTAAATATTAATTTCAAATCTCATAAAAATATTAAAATGTTAACATTAAAAACATCATTTTTCAATATATATTTTAAAAAATTAACTATTAGATTTA